AAAAACACAAATTAATGAAGCTTTACTACAACATGCCCCTATCAACACCATCATGTGAAAGAAGCTTTAGTGTAATGAGGAGAGTTAAAACATGGGTTAGGTCAGAAACTTGGGGCAATCACCTGAACAACATCATGTTTGGTCAGATACACAAAAAAAATGGACAAAATTAACATTTAAAAAATTGCCAAACAGTTAGTTGAAATGAATGACAGTAGTATGAATTATTTCGGCAAATACGCTTGAAATCATTCTAGCACCATGTAAAGCTAAGAATAGCATAGGATGAAATGTACTATTGACATCTAGAAAGTAGCTAAGAAACAGTTGATTTATTTAGTAGGCTGTTTAATAGCATACTATAACATTTAGTGTTAATTGCACTGTACACGCGATTCGTAATAGTAAAAGTAGTAGACAAAGTGACATTTTTTGTATATTTTTTGGAGAACGGTAGGGTTAATTAAAAGGTTTATTTATATTAGATATTATACATAGTAAAACATTGTGTTGATATTTTGGCAAGTGCTCTTGTGTTTTGGTTTGCCACCCCTGCCCTTAGGCTCTTCTGGCGTGTCTGATAATTATATTATTATTATAATTATTTACAATTATTATAATAATATAATTATATATTATTATGAAAATAATAATAAATAATAACTTCTAATAAAATATAATAAACTATGAAAAAATAAAAATTAATAAAAAAAAAAATAAAAACTAATAAACTCTATTGTATTATTACAATAAAAATAAAGAAAGAATAATAAAGAAAAATAAAATAAGATAAAAAAAGAATGAATGTATATGTCTGTATTTACGCAAATATATGAATGTATGCTACTTTTGAAGGTGAACCATCCCTAGGCAGGTGTTTGGCGATTTTCCGGCAGAAGTGTCAACATACCCACGTTAAGTAATCTGGCTTCACATACAACAACACCATCGCATGGCTCTTTAGTTTCTTGTGTGCAAGATTTTGGATGTGTGTTTAAAAGTACACCACTACAACTAGGGTCGTTTCCACACCTACCGTATGTCGACACATTTCGTAGGTTTTAAATAGTAACATAAATTTTGCAAAAAGTAGTTATTTTATTTTTATTTTTATATTTTAAGTGTCAACAACATCGTCATGCATTTCTATTACAATACATGGAAACCGTTTATTACGGTTTCCATTTATTGTAATAGAAATGCATGACATTTATTACGGTTATACGTTACTTTTACGAACTCAAAGGGTTTATTACGTCAACATATGAAAATATTTTTTTTAAGTAGCAGTTGTTAGAAACGTTTCAAATAAAACAAGAAAATTTAAGAAGATAACATAAAATTTTATTTCTAAATTGACTTAATCACGTAAATAAAACATGAATCTTTATTAATATTTTTAAAACCAATCATTATTATAGTATCAATGTAGTACTTTTGAATGTACGATAAGTATGAACTAAAAAAAATATCATTCCATTTATATCGTATGTTCAATGAATAATTAATTTGTTTTTTTTTTTTCTATAAAAATAAATATTTTTTTACTTAGATTCTTTTACAAAGGCAAAAATATAAACAAAAAGTTTGTAGCTCAAAACGAAGACTTAAATATACAGATAGTCAATTACATGATGCTATTAATGCTGTTGAAAAAAATATGGTTGTGTACAAAGCGAGCAAGACGTTTGGAATTCCTTATGACACGCTTCGTGATAAAATATTTGAAAGAACTTCTTTGAAGATACAACACTGCGGGTATGAATCGGTACTAGGTAAACACATTAAAAACAAGTTAGTCGAGTGGTTATTAACATGCACCAGAATGGGATTTGCTATTTCTGTAGTACAGCTGTTAGATACTGTGCAAAAATATTTGAATTCCAACAATATAAAAACACAATTTACTAATAACCCGACGGGCATTTGTTTTTAAAAGTTACGATCTAAATGTATTTTAAATGTCTTTTAAACGTCTTTTAAACATTAATGTTTAAAAGACGTTTAAAAGACATTTAAAACACATTTAGAACGTAACTTTTAAAAACAAATGCCCGTCGGGAAGCGTCCTGAAAAAGGTTAGTTTTATGAATTTCTTTGCCGTCACGAACAGCCTTCCCAAATACGAGGTGAATACTTAAACTGAGCTAGAGGAGGAATAGCTGAAAAAGCCATAAGAGATTGGTTTGCTGAAATTCTGAAGCTTTTGGGAAAAACACTTAATATTTAAATGATTCGATGCGCGTTTTCAATATGGATGAGAGTGATTTTCAGTTGTCACGAAAAACCAATTTATTAATTTGTGAATGAGGAAAATATACATACTAAGAAAGTGCTCAAAGTAATAAAAAACGCATCACTACTTTATTTGCAGTAAATGAAAGCGGAATTTTTGCTTTACCATTAACAATTTTTAAATATGTTCGTTTTCCTAATAGAATTATAAATGCTGCTCCATCAGGATGTGGTATTAAAAAAAGCAAAAATGGTTGGATGACAGCAGGATGTTTTTTTGAGTATATTACAAATGTTTTTCATTAATTTTTAATAAAAAAAAGAAATTTCTTTACCAATTATTATATTTTTTGATGGTTATGCGTCACATTTTTCTATCAAACTTCGTGAGTTTTGCTCTAAAAATGGAATAATTCTTGTTGCTTTGTTCCCAAACGCAACACATATTTTGCAGCCACTCGATGTGGCAGTTTTTGGACTAATGAAAGCAAAGTGGAAATCTTTTTGCCGACAATGGCGCATTGACCATGAAGGACAAGAAATAAACAATGATAATGTACGAGAAGCATCAATTTTTTTTTTATCGATCCTTCTATGGCAAATAATATCAAAAGTAGTTTTGAAAATATACTGGGATTTTTCCATTTAACGCTAATAGTGTTTGGTACAAAAAAATTGTTCAAAAGTTATCTGAGTCAACTGTTGCTCCGGCTCTTTATTTAGAAGAAAACTATTCAAAAGTGAATTTATCAGCTTCATCTCCCATAACCTTTGTTAAAAAGTGCATTGATTCAAGTATTTTAAAGCAGTTTAAAATGGTTGACAAACATTTAATTGGGAAAGATGATCTTGAATACCTTCAGTTGTATCATTTTTGGAAAAGAGCCTCATCTGAAACATATAAGACCATAATTTATCTAATGAAATACAACATGGTAATAAATATTTATCAACAACTTGTAATTTAGAAAATGTGCAAGTTAAAACCGATAAGGAAATGTCTGATTACAATAATGCAGCGGTAATAGAACCAAAACCAGTTTATTTCAGTTTAAAAATAGCAGCAAAAATCATAAATCCGATTGAAAGTGTTTTTATATGGCCGAATCAACCGGTCCAAATGTTCAAGCGCAAAGTAGAACGTTTACCATCGGTTGTAACATCTGAAACGTGGCAGCAAGTTCAGAAGACAAAAGTGCAAGAAAAGCCACAAGTTAAAGATGAAAGATTAAGAAAGAAATAACTAGCTGCAGATAAAAAGTCACAGAAAGATTAAGAAAGAAAAAATTGGCTACGGAGAAAAAGTTATTTAATGAAAAAACTAAAAAAGAAAGAGAAAATATGAAAATTTGGAAAAAGAAAAAAGCAGTTGCAAAAGAAAAAGAAAGCCTTAAAGCTGAGTCAGAAAACGAGTTCCATTTAAATGATGATAATAATTATAAAATAAGACTCAGATAGTTACGATGAAACTCAATCCTTTCCAGTTTAAGATCATAAAGGATATGTACTAAAGTAATGGAAATTCTTTAAAATCTTTTGTTAATTCATAATAACATTTTCATTACTACATAATTAATGTTTAATTAATAGTCTTTTTTTTATTTAAACACCTAAAAGCGTTTAATAAAATGTTACTAATCTATTAAATTTTCATTTGAAAACGCGAGGTCATTTTAAACGAGACAATAAAGCAGATTTTAAGATATATGATAAGTGTCGACAATATATACGATAAGTGTGAAACACTTACGATAAGTATGGAAAACTGCCCTTTAAAAGTTTGATCAAAATAATTTAACATTATTTATTTAAATTTCAGAATGAGATTAATTTTAAACAAACCCTTATAGTATTATATTGACGGCGGCAAAAATTTATTTCCAATGCATTTCTACTTTTTGAGTAATCTAAAATATTAAAATAACTTTTGTTTAAACTCACGGTAAGTGTGGAAACGACCCTATATATTTATTATGTTTAATTAAAAAAAAAACTTATTAATCGTATTCGACAAATAAGATTTCAATGATTACATCTGACAAATAAAATTGAGTGGGCGCAAGACAATATATTTCTTTTAAAAATAACGGACGTTTTTATCCGCATTCTTTTTTTAAAACTATTGTCATTTTAAAAGTGATATTTATTTAAAAATTTATCCAGATTATTGTTCACATATTTCAGCGATTAAGAAGACTCAGTAATTTGATGGATGCAAGCGCACAACGTATCAAGAAAAAGAAAAAAAAAAACTTTAAACTTTTGTTTAAAAAGTTATAAATTCACTAACGCCGGTTTTCTGTTGATAAGACCTGATGGTCTTCTTGGAGTATTCGCGTTCTTTATACTTTTTTTCTTATTCTTTATATTTTAACAATACCTTCTCTTGTAATTTTTCTTCTTTTATTTATTTGTATCTTTATCTTCTATATTGTAATAAAAAACAAAACAAACTAAAAAAAATTTTCACTTAAAAAATTATTTAAGAAACAAGATGCATAATTAATATGTTGTTAAATAATAATAAAAAACTTTTTTTAAATTATACACTTTATTATTTAAAGCGCATCCTGATAAAGAAATGTTTGAAATATAAATAAGTAAAATTTTCAGTTTTATGTTAAGATATTAAAGAGTGCAGCTGTTTCTATTAAATAAACGACAAAAAACTTGCGCAGAATTACAAACTACTCAAACCAAAATCAAAAATGGTTATTTAATAATAATTTTTTGTTTGTTTTTTGATCTGTTTTAAGTAGACAAGTAGGCGATTATATCTTATACGTGTATAATTTGTAATAAAACACATAATTTTTGATCGATGTAGTTATTTTCTAATGAACCTAATTATTTGCTATTTTAACTCATCTTCTTCATAAGAGTAGATTTTAAATATGCTTGAAAACCGATTTTATGGTAAACAATTTTGATAAACAATTACATAATATTTTTTATATAAAATGACAATAAACATTTCTGCTTACTATAAATTATTTATGACTTTCTAAAGTTGATTTAATAACTTTTAAAAATATTTTGCACGTAAATTTTTTTTTATCATAAAAACGGACTCATCAACCATTAATATTTTTTGTTATCATTATAAAAACTAATCTTAATTCATAGTTAAAATTCGTTATTAAGATACTACATATGGTTGCACAATAACTACATATCAATGTTAGTGGTTAGGGGATATATGTCCATGTTATTTTTCAGCATTTGATTAAATGTTCAATTGTCAGATTTAGCATATTATTTAAGTTATTTTAACTTTTTTAGCTAATTTGTGGCAAGCAACAGTTTTTAAAATAAATGTTTATAGTCTTATTTGTAACAAAATCAATATTATAAAACATTGAAAAATTAGTTAGTCAGCTCATCAACATGCAGTAAATAATTTATAATATGTTATGTTTCAATTACAATTTTTAAATGTAAGGATTTGTTACAATGAATCTCTATCTTATACACACACATACACACACTGAATATATATATATATATATATATATATATATATATATATATATATATATATATATATATATATATATATATATATATATATATATATAATTTAGATCGCAACTAGTTTTAAATTACTTGTGTGCAGTTTTGAAGTATAGTTATTGATCATGGACAAAAAAGAATATACATATGGCTATCAACCATTAGATGGTATATTTTTATTATTACTTATATATGTAAAGTTTTTTAAATTAAATCAGCTCCATGTTTAAAAGATATAGTCTTATTGTTGTTTTGCTTGTAATAGATATCTTACATAAAATTAGAAAGATCTTTAATGCAGTATTTTAATATATAATATATATATATATATATATATATATATATATATATATATATATATATATATATATATATATATATATATATATATATGATATGATATGATATGATATGATATGATATGATATGATGTTTTGTCAATTAACTTTGCAGTTTATTATTTTTATAGAGTTTTCTAAAGTTTTTACATCTTTTAATTTGTTTACATCAATAATTTTAAAATCTGTACACTTAATTGATAATATTTTTCCAACAATAATGAAATCTCGGAAATAAAAAACAAAAGCATAATTACAAATAAATAAGTTGTGGAATATAATTCTTCTTTAACCCTAGAATTATAAAGTAAACCTAAACTGCCATGTTCAATAGTTTAAAATATGTATAAATACATTTTTTCTATAATCTATAAAAAATCTAGCTACCAATTACTAATTAGCACTCACTTTAGATGTTAAATCTTCATGAAGATTGATATTTTAAATAAGAAACAATTCTTATTTACAATATCAATCAAAAAAGGGTTCCACAAGATACCTTGTGGTACTCTTAAAGTTTCTTGAAATAAAGAAGAGTGTAGGCCTTCAAAAATAACTTTATTACTCCAGTTAGTAAGAAATAGTTTAATAATCTTAAAACCTTTATATATAAAAACTAATAACAGAGTAAAGATTGGTAGTATTGTAGGAAAGTTAGAGAGGTCAAAGTGTTTTCTAGAGTTTTGAATAATTGGAACCACTTATTTAGCACTTTTTTCTTAAGAGAGATGTTCTTGTAAAAAAGATGAAATAAATGATTAATAAAGCAACTGCTCAAGATGGTGAAAAATATGGAGTAAAATGAGGTTTGAAAATTGAAAAGTAGGAAATAAAGCTTTCAAACTTTTAGTCCAGAAGGAATAAAAGCTTCTGAGATGCGCATTATGCATACATATTATGGATATAAACATATATGTTTGCTATTTATTTAGATGCTGGCATACAATTTCCTTTCATTTTAACATGAACTTTGAATAAACCCAGCCCTAGTCAAGTATCAACCCTGGTCATTTACTATGGTTCCCTATCTGTAAGATATTAATCTACAAATGTCAAGTAGTTGAGTAGTGAGAGATAAATGCCAAAAGAGCTTAGGAATTCCATCTTGCATTATTTAAATTAGGTATTTTCTTAAAATTTAATAGGAAATTCATCAGATACTTCAAAAAAAGCTGAAAACCTGAGTTAAATAAATAGAACTTTCATATCATTGCCCTATCTTGCTGTTTCAGTAATCACTTGTTTACCATTTTTAAAATTCTTCCTGAGCTGTTTCTAGTTCTTTATAAGTTCCAGGAATAAATAGATATTTAATATCGTGTGACATATTGCTTGGAAGGACTCATTCAAGAACATTATTTTGACAACCAATTAGTTGTGTTTCCTCTAGTTTTTTTTTCAGTAAAGTTTGTAACTGACTGACAATTCCATCCCTTCTTTCAGTGTTTACATTCTTAGTGTCTGCTACAATTATCTTTATACTCTTCCATATATTGTATTCATCAAGAATAGCTTGTTATACCTTTAACAACAGTATCTGCATTTCCATCTGGTAGATGTAGTTCTTGTAACTTAACTTCTCTTTGTTTATTCTTCAACACTAACACTTGATACAAAGAAAGGAAGAAATTTATTTTTACAAACAAAATAAAAAACTACCACAACAAAGGAAGTAAGTAATTTATTGTACAAAAAAAAAAGTGTAAGTAAATAAAACATTTAAGTTATTCAAAAATATGGCAACTCCTAAATCAAAAATAAAAATTGAATCAAAAAGCCTTGATGAAAAAGCTCCACAGATAATGTTAAACATGCAACAACAAGAAATGCATATGCAAACACTAATGACCATAATGATGAAAGCATTGATGTCATCACAAAATCAAAATAATATACCATTAGTAATTTCAATAAACAATGTTAAGACATGATCACTAGTTAAAAAGCTAACCGACCCAAACGATATCTACAGTGAGCTATGACTAACTTGCAGCTTATAACCTAACAAATCAAAGTAGAGTTCTATTGGAAATCAATTCCTTAACAACATTGCAAAAGCTGACCAAATGCCTACTAATAATTGAATCCACGGAAAAGGCATTGCTTTTTTTTTCAACACAAGCAAAAATACAAATAGCAGAATAGCTCAGCTAAAGTCAAATTATCAAAGTACATCACACCATCGTTCTCTTCTAAAGCCACACCAAAACAAATTAAATTGCAAAGAATGCAACAGAAGGCCACATCCAACTTGAAGAAGACAATGCCCAGCCTATGGTAAAATATGTAGAAATTGCAGAAAAGAAAATCATTTCCATTATGTATGCAAAAGCACCAAGACATCCTGCATAAAAGAAGATGAACACAAAGAAATAACATTTATATGGTTGGTAGCAACCAACCAAGTATGGCTAGCAGATCAAATCATACCACATGGAACATGAAATAAAAATAATATCACTGTAAATAACTTTGAACCATTGCCAATTTTATCAGAAAAACTCGAAATTAACCTAATGGCTCATAAAAAAACTAAAACCTTCATTGCTAAATACATAAAACAAATGAAATTACCATATATTAAACCATCAGCTATAGCTGATAAAGGTGCCCAGACATGCACTGTTGGCTCAAATATACTAAAGAAATGGTCATTACCAGAATAATTCCTAATTAAATTAAGACATAGAATTTGGGGCGTCGCTGATGACAGCCTTGTTGTTAAAGATGTTTTAATCATAAAAATATCAAATAAATCTGTGTTAACTACACAATTACTATACATCTGACACAGTAGGGTGTCCCAAAAAACAACATTTTTGAAAATAATCTGCTCTCACCCCCTAAATGTGTACAATCTAATGCAAAAACACTAGGTTTAAATTTTTTTTAAATAAAAAATATTTTAAGGGGTCCCTCAAGACCCTCGAATATTTAATGGTCCCTAATATTTTCGAAAAAAAAGTTTTTCAAAAATATGTCAACCTGGTACTCAAATGAAGCGAAATTATATAAAAATTTTAAAAATAATATTCATTTCGAAATTGTTATTTTTGGTTTTATTACATAAAAAATTGCATTTTTTAAGAAAAAAATGCATTTCTAATGTTTTTTTATAATAATTTTGATAAGTTAAAAATATTTTGAAATGAATATTATTTTTGAAATATTTATATAATTTCGCTTCATTTGAGTACCAGGTTGACATATTTTTGAAAAACTTTTTTTTCGAAAATATTAGGGACACATTAAATATTCGAGGGTCTCAAAAAAATTTAAACCTAGTGTTTTTGTATTAGATAGAACACATTTAGGGGGTGAGAGCAGATTATTTTCAAAAATGTTGTTTTTTGGGACACCCTATGACACAGTGTAAATAGAATTTGCTTATCACAAACCATTTTAAAAAACCTATCCAACATTGTAACCAATTTTACTAATTCTTTTACAAATACTATACCTTAGCAAAATGTGGTTGTCTTTTGAGAACTACTAGCCCATCATTACCCAAAGCAATGCCTTTCGCCTATCATAGAAAATCACTCAGCAATTGAAAATTGGATAAACTTTTATGCCAGCACCACATTAAATACATGCACACATCAGCAGCTACAATCAATTGCAGGAAAGCCATTAAACATAACATTCAAAGATAGGTTTATTGCAAGCGCAGTATAAAAGCCTATACCAATACCTAATTGTTGGCAAAACAAGTCAAAAAGAAACTCGATGACGGTGTAGCACTTGGTATTATTGAACCAGTACCATAAGGAACCCCAACAGAATGGTGTTCCAGAATGGTGATTGTATCAACAAAAAAACAGCGCACCTCGGAGAACTGTGACTTACAATGTGTAAACAATATGACACTGACAGAAACACATACTAATTTGCTTATTAATATTGTTAATCAAATCTCAAAAGGTAGAAATAAAACTATTGTTGACTCTTGGAATGGATATCACTGTGCACCTTTCTCAAAACTGCCAAAAAGGCTACAACCTTTATTACAGAATGGGGACATTATGGATATTTAAGAGTACCGCAAGAATTCCATGCATTAAAGGATGGATACACCAAACATTTTTGACGATATAACCCAGAATTTCCTACGAGTTGTCAGATGCATTGATGATTCTTTACTTTGGGATAACGATATTAAATCTTCATTTTGACATACTATGTCTTACATTAAACTATGCTTTGACAACAGAATAGTCTTTAATCCAAAAAAATTTAAGTTCACCTTGGATAACATTGAGCTTATTGGATTTGAGTTAACCATGACAGGATACACACAAAAAGTTGTTTGATGCTATACAAAATTTTCCATCACCAAAAAATATAACTGGGACTCGCTCGAAAAATCAATTTCTTGAAAATTTTTTTCAAGCATCTAAGCTTAAAATAATCTAGTTAATAAAAGGTGTTCAAGCATTCGATATATATTCAAGCATTCAATATTAGTCGTTGAACTTGTTTATCTACTGATTGGAGCAAATCAGGCATTGGTTTTATACTAACACAAAAGCATTGTGAATGTCCTGACATTAACCCACTATGTAGCTTATCTGATTGGAAAATTGTTTATGCTGGCTCCCATTTTACAAAAGATACCAAAAGTTGATACACTCTCGTTAAAGGTGCATCCTTAGAATTATTATATGGTTTAGAAAGTTTTGGAAACCTTGATAAACCTTGAAAAATCCTTCCACAAAAAAAAAACTAATGTATAATTTCAAAGTTATTTTGATTCCCAGAAAAAAACCTGATGCTATGTCACAAATTAATAGCGATAACAGTAACACCTTTAACAAAGAATGTAACATT